TGCAGATTATGAATCCTAGTAAAGTCCATACCACAAACATCGCATTTGTATGGTTTTTCACCCGTATGAATTTTCTTGTGCCTGCTCACATCACCCCTCCAAGTGAAAGTCATACCACATATATCACACTTGAAGGGTCTTTCCCCTAAATGCATTCTCGTATGACCTTGCAGACTACTACTGCAAGAAAACTCCAAATCACATGTAGTACATTTGTAAGGTTTCTCTCCCGTATGAACCCTCACATGTACCTGGAGATTATGTATTCGGGTAAATCCCATTCCACACACATCACATTTAAATGGCTTATCTCCCGTATGTATAATCTGATGCCGACTCAATCCACCACACTGCGAAAATGCCATCCCACAAACATCACACTTATACGGCTTTTGACCAGCATGTATTATTTTATGCCGAATAAAACCACTACGTTCAGCAAATGCCATATCACAAAGGTCACACTTGAACGGTTTTTCACCGGTATGCACCCGCTTGTGACCTTTCAAGTGATAGCTTCGAGTAAACCCAACTCCACACACTTCACACTTGAACGGCTTTTCTCCATTGTGTATCAACTGATGACGACTAAGGCCACCCCTCTGAGTGAAGTTCATGTTGCACACTTTACATTTAAACCGCTTCTCTCCCGTGTGTGCAGCCTGGTGCTTGCTGAGGTCCCCTCGAATCAAAAATGAAGCATCACAGATGTCACATTTGTGAGGTTTTTCGCCAACATGTACCCTCATGTGAATCTTCAAGTTGTGGAAACGTGAAAATGCAACATCACAAACTTCACATTTGTATGACTTTTCCACTGATGGAAGATCTTCTGGAGACTCTCTTTCTGCAGAATTAACTCCACCTGTGGAATCGCCATTGACTCCATGATGTCGCTTGTCAGCAGTAGTAGTATCTCCACCTGACTCAGTGTCCACAGTATCTTCACCTGACTTACTGTCAGCAATATCATCATCTGACTTATTGTCAATGGTATCATCATCCGATTCACTGTCAACAATATCATCACTTGACTTATTGTCAATGGTATCATCACCTGAATCGATATCAGCAATATCTTCACCCAAATCATCACCAGGTTTGCCATGTTGGTCAGGTGGAAAACACACATTTTCCTGCTTATCGCATTCCATGGTCTTTTTCTGATGTTCCCTGCACAAACCTGTACCTTCAGTAATGATCGCACTGTATTTATCCTTCTCTGATGACTGAAAATCTGGATTTTCATTCTTTACAGCCCTGTTTTCATACTTCTCTAATGACTTGAAATCTGCATCGTCATTGACAGCCCTACTTTCATCCTTCTGTGATGACTCGAAATCTGCATATTCACTCTTTAAAGACTTGCTTTCATCCTTCTGCGATGATTCGAAATCTGAATATTCACTCTTTACAGACAGGTTTTCATCCTTCCTTGATGACTCAAAATCGGCATATTCATTCTTTATAGACTTGTTTTCATCTTTCTTTGATGACTTGAAATCTGCATATTCACTCTTTATAGACTTGCTTTCATCCTTCTCTGATGACTTGAAATCTGCATCTTCACTTATTACATTTGATAACTCAGCTTCTTTATATTCATCCATCCTTGAAGGTCCCTGGGACACTTACTGCCAAATTCCTGATTTATTTCATCTTTGGAATAAATCTGAAAAATTAAGAAGATGTTAGGAACAAAATCTTAATAATAATACACTACAGATTAATTCAAACCTGAACTGAGGTGGGTTTTCATAAGTGATCTGGGCTCTAAGGTTAAACATGCCTAAAATGAGGCACCAGAAATTGTCCGCGGAAGACAGCTGATATTGCAAGAAAAAAAAAAAAAATTCTGACATCCTAACAGATTTGAACACCAATAAATATTGGCCAGAAAACAGCATCTTGTCTCAGAAACTAAAATCCATTAATAGATTCCAGGGCTCTATTGAGTGGGTGGAAGGCAAAGAAGAAAAAGGGAACTAAAATATTTTGGTGATATCAAGCGCCACGGTGGATAGGAAGCACTCACTCTTACTACTCTTGCATATATGTCTCAAATGATTTGTTGATTTCATGCTTCACTGCTTGGCTTGGCGTTGAAGGTGATGAAGTTTTGTCTTTTGTCGCGATGTGATGTTCTGGTTGATGTAGGGACTACAGTTTCGACAATTTGCGGTCTTTTCGGCAATTTCCGTTACCCGGAAACCGTTCAGAACTTGTTCGGGAAATCTCGGCTGGTTTCCGTATGGGTCCAAATCTCTCATGAAATTTTGCCATTGGTGGGAATTTGGACCAGCTATAAATAGCTGAAAACAGCGTGGGGGAACCCGATTAACAGCGCATGTCTACGACAGCCGGACGTCCTCTGTTTTTCTGTTAGTCATCAGTTTGATTGAAAATAGCGGTAAATTCGAGGTTGGCTTTAGGCTTTAACTGTTACTCGTCCTGGTATTGCTAGGTATATTTGAATTCTCCGTCCAATTTTACATTTGTGTATAAAATTTCTTTCTGGACGGTGGCAAGGTAGATGTACAGTGACATTTTTCAGGCAATCGCTGGCTCAGCCAGTGGCTGTGTCTCATTGCCTGCCATCTTGTCCAATGTCAGTCCAATGTAAACAAAGCCGATACAGAACTGCGCAGTAGGTTGCGCAGACTGCGCAGTAAAAAACTTCTTGTTTCTGGGTCACAAGTTTTAGCGGCTGTTTCTTTCATCTCATCCCACAAAAACCTACATATCTCAGCTCAGAAATGACATACAAGCCTAAATGAGGTACCATTGGAAATAAATTGTTTACAGCTATCTAACTGTGCTGGTTTTATTGGTGTAGAGGGCATTTTAAAAATTTTACTGAAGTAGCTAGTTGATGAGCCAGCAGCGTCTAGATTTACAAAGTTACTTTAAGGACAATCCACCTCAGCCACTAACATAATTAAGGTAACGCATTCAAATCTATTGCCTACAATGCACGGTAAAACTTTCTGCAACACATAAGAACCCTCATAACAGGATGTATTCATTATTTTCATTCACTATATATAACATACCGCTTTCTTAAGGAGGAAGTCGCCATATTCTTAATTTCCTACAGGTAGCAAAAATCACATTTGCAAATGGAAACAAAATAAATTAAAATTTTAAAATTTAAAGAGCTCAAAGAACTTTTGATACTTAAATAAATACACGCTTATTAAAAAAGATAACAAAGAAATTTAATCTGCAATATATTGTAAAAATTGGTTAAAATTGTAAGTATTGATCTGAAACTTCTTGTAGGTTTGGTGTGTTTTTAAGAATGCGTTTCATTATATCTAAATGTAAACTTCGTGTTGTGAAGAGCGATGTGGGGAGGGAACTAATTTCTGTTGCAGACGATTCAATTGTTTGGCTGTAAAGACAGCAGATTATTCTCTAGTTTCTCGTCGTTTGTATGGTATATTTCTTGTAGTGTATAGTGCTAAATGGTTACAGTTTCTAAAGCCAGAGCTTTTGCTCCTAATGTCTTCAAGTTCACCATAAGTTAACATCGTTTTGGAGCTTGACCATAAATCTTTGTCTGTGTGAACTTCTTGACGAGAATCCAAGTTATGTGGTTCGTCATAAGCGAGCTTAATAAATATTGATTGATTGGTGATGCGTGTCATATGAGATAGGAATGTTAGAAAACAGTGTTAGTATTAAGAAAATATTAGAGGCGGCGAGTTTGTTAACACCCCGCCCAGTTTCGTATACACATCATTCATGAAATCAAAAAGTAACTTCCTGAAGTGCTCAGTTTGGAGCAGAGATCAATGATTTTTTTTTTTAAGTCTCTAGGTTGTCTGCTATTTTGACTTTGGTTGAAGTTGCCTAAGTTATAGTTTGTTGCCCACCTGTTTGAATGTTTACATCCTCTGAACCTCTCTATGCTTCTACTGTCTAATGTGTTCTGCACATGGCTAAAATTCCTGCCTGACTTGTTGATATGTGATACTAGTCCCATCAATTTCTTTAAAAAAAAAATTGGAGGGGGGGGGGGGGGGGGTAGGGGTAAAATGTGATGAGTGATCCTGCAACACATGCAGCACTCATCTTAAACAAACCCCCTTCTTTTCTTCTTCTGTTTTTCATCCACAAATGGAGCACCAGTCCATAGTGAAACCATTCAGAGCACCCCTATAGTTTGCCATCTTACGCATTTCGATTTGTCCCCTACCTATATGTTATGTTATCACAGTTAGCGTCACTGTACATTTAGCATTCCCCTATATCCACAGTCCTTGTATGTAGCAGCCACTCTAAAGTATCTCTACTGATTGTTTTGAAAATGGTTTATAATATACAGACTTTAAATTAAACAAAAAAAAGTTACACAAACATGAAGGCACTACAAAGCAAACTTTTTAATTTGATAGTTCAGACTTAAGCCATATATTAGTGTTTCTGTCTTACTTTTGCTTTTATTCCCCCCCCCCCCCCAACCCTTTTCCCTGAATAAGGAACCGTAGCAAAGAGCGAGCCTAGTCCATTTTATTTTAAAGAACTGCTTATATATAGTTTTTTACAGGCTAATCTTCCTGTCTGCACCCATGCCAGGCTTTTACCATTGTTTTAGTGAGACACACAATCACAGCCTCAGCATGCGACCATAATAATCACAAAGGCTGGAACAATAAGCTATACTTCAGAACACTGCTAAGAAGGGCCAATACTCATGTGTGTGAGTAAGAGGTTAGTGAACAAGTTTCCCAATCAGTTTCATACCAGAGTTTAATTTTCACAATGAATGGTTTGTAAAAAAAAAAAAGACTGTTGTTGTGGTTTTCAGTCAGTGGCATGAGAGTTGCACCATATAATATTCCCCTAAAGATAGCAGTAGATGCTTTTATCCACAACAGCTATCTTCCATTGTGGAGACAGATGAAACAAAATCATCACTTACATTTGTGTGTGCGCTAGAAGGTGTTGTAATTCAATATTTTGTGATAAAGGAGCACCACTAAACAGTTTAGAACATGGAAGACAGTGATACAAATATGAACTCAGAGCAAACTAATTCATCTGCAAAGTTTTCAGTTAGATTTCTGGGGTCCATGCCTATGAATCGGCTGTATTCACAAACCATGCAGCCTTGGGTTATGGCAGAAATACATCGACAAAAGAAGTGCATACAAGAGGTGATTTTTGAGGTTGCTGGGGAGTCGATTTGTGTTAGTAGCAAGGATGTAGGAGAGAATCCACTGCTGTTTGAGCATTCTCTAAGGAGTGTCACCCGATTTGCGAAACTGCATCAAGACCCCAAGTGTTTTGGATATTTGACTCGGGACCAGCTGGATGTTGATTTTGTATGCCACGTGTATCTTGCTGACTGTGAGGCTGTGGTGAGTATTTTTTATGTTTTGTTACAGGATTGTTGGTGTATTTCTAGAAACATTGTTACACTTTTGTTGATGTATTTCTAGAAACATTATTACACTTTTGTTGGTGTATTTCTAGAAAAATTGTTACAGTATTGTTGGTGTATTTCCAGAAAGATTGTTACAGTATTGTTGGTGTATTTCTAGAGAAATTGTTACAGTATTGTTGGTGTATTTCCAGAAAGATTGTAACAGTATTGTTGGTGTATATCTAGAAATTTTTTTTACAGTATTGTTGGTTTATTTCTAGAAATATTGTTACAATATTGTTGGCGTATTCCTAGAAAGATTGTTACAGTATTGTTGGTGTATTCCTAGAAATATTGTTATAGTATTGTTGGTGTAGGCGTATTTCTAGAAATATTGTTTCAGTATTGTTGGTGTATTTCTAGAAATATTGTTACAGTATTGTTGGTGTATTCCTAGAAAGATTGTTTCAGTATTGTGGGTGTATTTCTAGAAACATTGTTACAGAATTGTTGATGTATTTCTAAAAATATTGTTACACTTTTGTTGGTGTATTTCTAGAAACATTGTTACAGTATTGTTGATGTATTTCTAGAAATATTGTTACAGTATTGTTGGTGTATTTCTTAAAATATTGTTACACTTTTGTTAGTGTATTTTTTTAAATATTGGTACTGTATTGTTGTTGTCTTCCTAGAAATGTTGTTACACTATTGTTGGCATCTTTCTATAAAATTTGGTACAGTATTGTTTTTTTTTTTTAGAAACATTGTTATAGTATTGTTGGTGTTTTCCTAGAAGCATTGTTACAGTTAGGTTAGTTGCGTATCCTTTACAGGACGTTGCAGAACCAACCCCAACAGCACCTGGCTGTTTTTTGTTTTTTTCTAGACAAATTTACGTCCAATAGTTTGCCACTATTGTTACAGTATTATTGGTATATTATTAGAAACTATTACAATAGTTATTTTTTTTTCTGTATTGATCGAAAGATTGATTGCTACAGTGAATATTGTTAGTCTTCATGAGACTAGTCGAGGAACCCGCGTGAATAGATATCTGATCTCACACAACACTATGTAGATTGTTTGTCAGAGATTCATCAAGTTGTTACAGTTGTCATTTATGGACCTGAAGACAAATAATTATGATATAGATCAAATAAGAAACAACAAGAAGACTAACATGGGGTACTGCAAACGGCCTGTATTCAAATCTCCTCCTCCTTCTTCTCCTCCTGCTTCTTCTTCTTCTCCTGCTTCTCCTTCTCCTCCTCCTACTTCTTCCTATAGTGTCTTTGGTGTATATGTCTGTGTGCGTGTGTGTGTGTGTGTTTGTCTGTGTGTGTTTGTGCATGTGTATCTGTGTGTATGTGCCTGCTTGTGTCTGTGAATGTGTTTGCATGTCAGTGTGTTCTACGTGTTTGTAGCTATGTGTGTGCCTGCTTGTGTTTGTGTGTGTGTGTTTGTGTGTGTCTGCGTGAATGCCTATGTATAAGTGCATCTCTGTGGGTGTATATATATATCTGGTTATGTCTCTGTGTGTGTATGTGTGTATATGTCTGTATGTGTCTCTGTGTGTATTGTTTTTAGGTGTGTCTGCATGTGTGTGTATGCGGGTCTGTGTGTGTGTGCCTGTGTATATGAATGTCTATATGGGTGTTTGCATTAGTGTGTCTGTGGGTGTGTCTGCATGTATCTGTGTGTATGTATGTCTGTGTATGGGTCTGCGTGTGTGTGTCTGTGCTTGTGTGTCTATGTGTGTATATGTCTGCGTGAGCATCAGCTTCTGTGTGTGTCTGCGATTGTGTGTGTGTTTGTGTGTCTGCCAGAGTGTCTGTGTGCGTGTATCTGGTTGTGTTGGTGTGTGTGTCTATGTGTGTTTGTGCATGTATGTGTGTGTGTGTGTGTGTCTGCGGGTTTTTGTGTGTGTCACATGTGTGTGTCTGTGTGTGTGTATCTGTGTGTGTATCTGTGTGTGTGTTTGTGTCTATGCGCGTGTGTCAGTTTTGTGTGTTTCTGCGTTTGTTTATGTGGGCATGTCTGTGTGTACATGTGTGTATCTGTATGTTTGTATGTATGTGTGTGGAATTGCTTGTTTGTGTGGGTAGGTAGGTATGTATGTGGGTGAATGGGGTGCGTTTATATGTGTGAAGGAATGTGGGTGAATAAATATATGTGCATGTTTAAGTGAGTGGGTGGGCATGTGTGTGTGTATGTGTCTATGTGTGTCAGTGGTGTAAATATCAGTGTGTGTGTCTGTGTGTATATGTCTGTGTGTGTTTGTTTGTGTATGTATGTATGCATGTTTGTCTATGTGTGCATGTCTGCCTGTGCGTCTGTGTGTGGGTCTTTGTGTATGTGTCTGTGTGTGTTTGTTTATGTATATCTAGGTATCTGCGTGTGTTTGTATTGTGTGTCTCTGCGTGTGTATCTATGTATGTTTGTTTGTGTGTGTTAGTTTGTGTGTATGAGTGTGCTTGTGCGTATGTATCTGCGTGTATGACTGTGTATGTGTCTCTATGTGTATCTGTGTGTGTGTCTACATGTGTCTGTGTGTGTGTTTGCATGTCTGTGTGTTCTATGTGTATGTAGCTGTTTGTGTGCCTGTGTGTGTGTTTGTGTGTGTGTCTTTGTTGTATTTGTGTGTGTGTGTGTTTATGTGTCTTTGTTGTGTTTGTGTGTATGTGTTTGTATGTGCCTGTGTGTGTATGTGTGTTTGAGTGAATGCCTGTGTATATTGGCGTCTCTGGGTGTATATATCTGTGTATTTCTCTGTGTGTGTCTGTGTGTATATGTCTGTGTGTGTTTGTCTGTGTGTGTCTCATGGTGTGTCTACATGTGTGTGTATGTCTGTCTGCGTATATCTGTGTGTATGTGCCTGTGTTTATGAATGTATGTCTTTGTGTTTGTGTGTCTGTGTGTGTGTGTCTGCATGTATCTGCGCGTGTGTCTGTGGTTGTATGTCTGTGTGTGTATGTGTCTGCGTGAGCATCAGCGTGTGTGTGTGAGTGCGTGTCTGTGATTTTGAGTGTGCTTGTGTGTCTGCAAGTGTGTCTGCGAGTGTGTCTGTGTGCATGTATCTGTGTGTGTGTGTGTGTCTGTGTGTGTGTGTTTGTGCATATATGTGTGTGTGTGTCCTCGTGTGTGAGTCTTCATTTGTGTGTCTGCAGGTTTGTATGTGTGTTGCATGTGTGCTTCTGTGTTTATCTGTGTGTGTGTTTGGGCCTGTGCGCGTGTGTCTGTTTGTGTGTGTGCATTTGTTTCTGTGGGTTGTCTGTGTGTGCATATGTGTATCTGTATGTATGTATGTGTGTTGAATGTGCGTGTCAGTGTGGGTAGGTAGGTATGTGTGGGGTGAATGGGGGTGTGTTTATATGTGTGTGTGAAGGTATGTGGGTTTAAGTAAGTGGGAAGGCGTATGTTTGTTTGTGCGCTAGTGTGTTCATGAATTTTACCACCCGTGCTTTTTTTTTCTCTTGATATTCATAATATGCATATTATCATATGAATATAACATGCTTATTGATAAATACAACTGCATTGTATAGGCGGGTGTTTGGAAGGGCTGAATGTAAGACCGGCCTGCATGCCCAGTTTGTGACCCTTTAAAAATAAAATTTGTTTGTTCATTCATTCATTCTTCTTCTCCTCCTCCTCCCCCTCCCCCTTTTTATGCCTCAATCTCCCGTTTCTCATTTCCAAATGAAGCATCGGCCACCAATAAATTCTTGCCAAGTCCTTAGCTTATAGAAAAAGGAATATTTACACAGTAAATGTTTTGTTCTGCAAAGGACCTATTACCTACTGATGAGGGCTAAGCAGCAGTGAGGTAGTAAAGCAGTGAGTACGGCAGTCAATCAAATTGTAAAGTGAAAATGGTCAGTTTTACAAGAACACCGTCACAAGTGACAGAATGGGTGTTGCAGCTATAACAATTTTTGTTTTATGAAGCTAAATTAAAAAACCTGAAAAGATTAAATGGAAAACGAAAAAGTAGATAGCAGAAGCAATATAGAAACAGTAGTATAAACAACATTGATAGGAAAAATATTCTATATTCAGTTGGCATCTCTCCATCTTTCCAGATTATAGTGTTTCCCTTGCAGGTTCTAGGGCTCCTTATGGGGAAGACCCACTGTATCCCCAACAAGCATGTCGACTAATTGAGGGCTTCCCTCGAAGTCGGAGTACATCTGCCCCAGTGCCAAGGAATAACCAGCTGCACACAAATAAGCCAGTAAATGGATGTACCTGCAAAACTCAGGCCTTGGCAAATGGATAAACAACCAGAACTTTCCTCTAGAGCTTACAGCCAGTGAACAAAGAAGAAGAAGAAGATGATAATGTAATATTTCTCTATAGGGAGGCATGAGAATTACAGCCAATGGCCAATGTGAACATCAAGACTCCTTATCTTCGACGTGATCCATAGGCCAGCCATCTGCAACTAAGGAAGAACCAGTTAATCTGTCAGCTCTTTTATTTGATTAAATTAACCTTGCACGGGCTGTGAAGGTCACAGGTTCTTTTCACTGACTGCATTGTTTGGTTCATGAATTTGATTTTTAACAAGATCCCTAGGGATAGTGGCTGGAGATACAGAGTTTGAGCTTTTTGCAATACTCACATATGGGATAAAACCAAGTGCATTTAAATCAGTCCTCTTAACTTTAAACTTTACTTAATCTTGCAAACCTTTTTTTTTTCCATCTCAGATTCAGCAGATATTTCAGGCTCTTCAAAAAGCATCTCGAGGCATCACCACCAAACCTGGCAGTGGAGAAACCACTAGTCAACCTGTCATAGACACTAGTAGCCCTACGGTGGAGACAGGAGATCCTGACAGTTCTAAACCTTTATATGAGGTTAATTGTGCAGTTACTATTCTTTACAGTGGTTTTCAACCTTTTTTAGGTATCCCCCCAACTCCACATTTTAGACTATATGACTAGACACACACCCCCCTCCCCCTCCCCCGATTTTTAAAAGTAGATGGCAAGACGTCAGTGGCACCCGCCCCCTTCCTTCCCCATTTTAAAACATGTAATTAAAAAAGATGGAGACAAAAAAAAAAAGAACCAGAAAAATCCCATGCCTATTCACAAGAATTTTTGAGACAGATATTCACATAAATCAGTGTAGGAAATATCAAAACCTCCTTGGCTTTTCATTCTACATATAGTTAAAAAGAAATATTTTATTTATAATTAAACTCAAAAAAAATAAAATTCTAGGGTATCAGATTATTGCAAGTACAAATGAACTAAATTACAAAGTTGATGGACGTCCCACTTGGAAATTCCTTTGCCCCTTCCTGGGTGAAGAACCAAAGCTTTTGAACAATGACTGGGGGTTAGATATCGGTTTGTGTCTAAAGTTAGTTGCATATCTTTAGAGGATGTTGCAAACACCATCGCAGCTTTTGTTGGCCGTTGGTGGTTTACTAGGCAGTTTTTATATTTGTTAGTTTGCGATTGCTTGTAATTGGTGGGTTCGCAGTATCAGTCTACTGCCAAATCGCCCACAGCTGGAAAATTGAACCAGATATCTTGGAATCACAAATCACATTTACAACCTGTAAGCCATAGATGTGGTTTATAAATAGTGGTTGATTTTTCTGTCTTCTTCACCACTGTTTCAATGGAGTGTAGGCCCTCTACCATCTCACATAAAACTGCCCTTTTTTGGCCATTTCCTGCAACTTACCCCATGTCCTCTGCGTTTGATCCATCTCTGTGTTAAATTTGTTTCTCTGTGTTTTAGGTTTTTCTTCCCATAGGCATCAGAACCTGGAGGCTCAGGCCTCATACCCCCTACCCCTCAAGAGAATAACACCCCCCCCCCTTTTTTTTTCCATTTTATAATGAGGATGAGAAACCCCTTTTAACCTGGATTTAAAGAAATTCTCTTTACAAGTATTTGTTTAAACATTTCATAGTATTTCAAATATATTGTTACACGTATTTACAGTTCAGCACATTATTATTTTAATTATGTTCTCAAACTAGGATTTGCCCTCTTTGCCTTGAAAATGTGTATGGCGGGAGGGGATAGTTTGGCTAGTCTTATTCTGTCTTTTGCCCAGGTTGTTCCAGTGTAAGGACATTCTGTCCATGTCGGTTCCATCGGTTCCAGAGCCTTTTTCTAAATAAAGATATGTAAAACAGATTTGCATGCAAAAGTCAAGTTCTGAACAAGAAGACTAAAGTCCAGAAGAGGACGAACAACCAGAACTTTCTGCCAGAGTTTACAAGCAGTTGTCTACTTGTAAGTCTAGAATTTACATTTCATAAAAATTATATTTATATTGTAATATTTGTTTGAACATCACAGGTGAAATTTGTAGGTCGGGTCAAAGTTGGTGGCAAGAAAGTGACCTCAGATGATATTGACCGTCTGGCAGAGAAAATTATAACAGAGTTGGAGAAAAGGGAGCTGGAGAAGATTAAAAGAGAGGAAGAGGTCAGAGCATGTTCTTTATAATTATTATTATAATATAGATAACCAGCTGCACACACATTTCATGATTTTAACTGATTCACAGAGCATGTCCAGAAAGGTGGAGACAGGTATGCTGCATGCAAAGTATCAAGCATCACTTAAGAGGCTCTTTAGTAGTTAGTTTAGTGCGTGTGTGGATATTTTCTCCAGGAAATGCCAGTATGTTGGGAAATGAACAGGCAGACAGATCTCCAGTTTCTTCACCACTTAATTGTGGTTAATTGATGCAAAGGTAAAGGTAAAGTCGGGAGATGTGAACCAGCGTCATAGCACACGGTTATAAACCATAAGTGCTCTGCCACCAGTACAGACAGCTGACAAGAATTGTCTGCCTGTGTTACCGTTCGCACGTAACTCTGTAGCTACAGCGACGTTCCTCCATTTACCCCAGAGTGTTAACTCTGGGACCCATTTCCTAGAGGCTGGGTGAACCCTGAGTACCGCCCGGTTTCGAACACCGACCGTGGCTGCAGCGAGTCGCAGCTGGATTTGAAAGCGAGCCTCTTATCGACTGCGCTAACCCAGCCCCACATTAATGCATGGCAAGCTATATGTTACAAGGGCATTTTGGAGTGAATAAACAGTGTGGAGGCACAAATAGATCATGACAGTCTCAACAGAATGATGCAGTGAGGGGTGACTAGGGAATATGGCTGATGCTGAACACTCAGGAAAGGGGCAAGATGGACATACAATCGGACTGTTACTGGTACCATCGGAATTGGAACTCTGCGCTGGCTGCTGAAGATAAGAATGAAGTGCTTATGAGAGTGTCCGAGTTCTATAATTTCAGCTCTTACCTAGTAACTTAAAACTTATATTTTAATATTGTTAGAGAATTGTGTATTATCACACATCATCATCATGTAGCAGGTCTTTTGCAGAACGTCGCTCTCATCCAGTCTGCCAGTAAGAAACTCGGTCTCTTGCCAGTTCTCCCTCCTCATGAACTTTCACACTCGAGTCACTTATATCCTGTGCCCATCTTCGTGTCGGTCGGCCTCTGCCCCTCCTTCCTGGTACCATGCCTTCTGCTATAATTGTTTTCAATCTGTCGTGGCGCTTGATGTGACCAAAATATTTCAGCTTTCGAGAATTCATGCTGTTTATTAGCCAATCTTTTTTGATGTTCAGATCTTTTAAGATGTCAATATTTTTCATCTTCTTTGTCCAAGATATTCTGAGAATCTTTCTATAGCATTTCAGCTCAAAAGCCCCTAATTATCACACATAGAAGCTGATAATGTCATATAAATACTTGTACAAGACATTAGCTTCACAGACTTGTCTGCTCTCTTGGTTCTACACTACTAAAAGATATCAATCCAAACGAAAAGTAGAGCTAGTCGGCTTTACATTATCACAGTCATGAACTACAAATGACCGTTGTGGCTATCAAGCCTTCATCAGCATGTAACAAAAACAGTTTCAATCATATACAAGCAAGAATGCACAAAATCACTTATCTGTCTTTCACAGAAATACCCATAACATGTTTGGACAGTAGAAACTCTTGAGTTGTAGCTGAGCAGGGCCATTTGCACAGCTACTGTCTTGTTTACATGTTCAGTAATTCAATAATCACAAACTGAGGCAAATTTTTCACTCCAGAGTTGAATTAACCCTTTCCTCCCACAAATGCTAAACAAAAATCGTCTATGCACCTGTGGTAATTTCTTATTCTTTAAACTGCTTTAAAAAAAAATAACAACATATTACACATGTCACTAATTAATTTTAAAAACAATTATTTATTTTAAAAAAAAATTTAAAAAGTATGTAAGTAATATGAGAAGATATTCAAAACAAGGTTTTCCCATTGTATATTTAAATAATGTGGACAAAACAATACATTTTATTACCAGACATATTTGACTGTAACCCTGAGTGGATACCAGATATAGTCCTGATCGTGATCGTTTTGTTTACATAAAACAGGAGAGTTCACTTTTATTGATACAGCCTCGGGCAGTTTTAGCAAATGTTTTTTCAGTGTGTTGTAGATAATTCTGAAGGCACCATCCTTATCAACTACATGTCCAGAGTCAAGCAAATATCATCTTTACGAAGAATTGAGGTTCTCTCCTCTTGGCTGGTGTGGAAAAAGGATTTCTAGTTGTTTGTACATAGAGCCGTGCTTAGTTCTACCACTCTGTTTTCAAGCTATCATTCTGTTTTCATGATGTAAGTAAACTGGCACTTAAATGTAAATTAGTAAATGCAATTGGATTTGGTTTATAGAGATACTGTTCTTTAACAGGTGGGGTAGAGGGAGTTTTAAAGAACCAGAATTGGCCCAAACAAAACTCTCAGTTAGTCGTCTTTTACAGCAATCTTATTTTCCCTAAAATGGGACACTGGAACCAACACTGGGAGTCTCTCTGTGTCTGTTTGTATGTGTGTGTGTGATTGTGGATGGGAGTAGTTGTGGTTGTTTTTGTTGAAGTATTGTTTTATGCTTGGTTAGTTACACTTTTTGAATATGTATTTTGCAGGTACTAAAAGAACGAAGGCGGCGTCATGCCAGTGAGGCTAGCATTGGTTCATTCTCAGACACTATGGAGGATGCAGATGAAGAACTGACCCCACTCAACAAGACAGAGACACAGAAAGACATGCTGGAGACTCCTGAATCATCACTACCCCAAGGAGGATATAACACTGAGGCAGTGCAGGTAGACCGACCTGATGATGTTGACGGCAGCTTTGGAAGCAGTTCACACAGTTTGGCAGGTCTTTCCCTGAAAGGTGAAGAAGAATCCAGATGTAAAAGAGATCAGCCAGTTCCAGTGCAGAAGGATTTGCAGACTATCACTTTTTCCAGCAGAGACAACTTGTGTTCTTCCTTGGAACAAGATTTGAATAACCCTGACTTCAAGGTTTTCCTACACGGATTACAATCCACATCCTTGACAGGTTCTCGGAGTCGTCACTCATCCACTTCTGATTCAAGAAGGGGTTCAACCCAGGAAGTTTTATTTGGCAGACAGCGGCTTGACAGCAGCAGTTCTCATGAGAGTGTCGGCTCTGTTCATCCCAGACAGGAAGTTGGTCAGGCTATGGTCTTGAAGATTGGTCAGCAGGGTATGACCATGATTAGCCTGGACAAGAAGAAGGTCTTCCTGGAGTTTAATTTCAAAGACATATCATCTGTATCACAGGTAAGTGGATAGCCGTGTTCTTCATCTTCTCATTTTGTCATCTCACTGACACCAGGTTGTAGCCCAGTGTCATGGTTTTCTGTTGGACAGTTGTGCAGTCTTAATATTCTTATTCTTATTGTTATTATGTTAGGATGCTAGTTAGGGATATTTAAAGTAAAGTACTTATATACTCAGAGTACCTGTAGACTTGGTGCACACTAGAGTACCTCTAGACTTGGTGCACACTAGAGTACCTCTAGACTTGGTGCACACTAGAGTACCTCTAGACTTGGTGCACATTAAAGTTCTTAAATACTCAGACTACCTAGTGACTTGGTGCATGCTAGAGTACCAATATACTTGGTGCATGTTAGAGTACCTATATACTTGGTGCACATTAGAGTACATGTAGACTTGGTGCACATTATAGTACCTATAGACGGTGCATATTAGAGTACTTATATACTCAGAGTACCTGTAGACTTGGTGCACATTAAAATACCTATAGACTTGGTACACATTAGAGTACCTGTAGACTTGGTGTATTTAGGTACCTATAGATTTGGTGCACATTAGAGTACCCATAGACTTGTATAGAGTACCTAAAGACGTATTGCAGATTAGAAAACCTGTAGACTTGTGCATATCAGAGTACCTAGAAACTTAGTGTACGTTGAAGTATCTGTAGAATAGGTGCACATTAGAGTACTTATATACTTGTGCACTTTGCAGAACCTAAAGACTTGGTGCACATTACAGTGTCAATAGACTTGATGCTATGTGATGATAAGTCTGAACTAACTCCAATAATTTCCTCTCCACAGGGAAGTCGTAGGCAGGATATGTTTGGGATTGTGGCCAGGGAGTCTGAGTCGCGGTTCACCTGCTACTTGCTTAGATGTCTGTCTGGATCAGTGGTAGGAGCTTTCATCTGTTTGTTTTTGTTCTTGATTCTTGTAGTTGTTGGTTTCATTGTGTCACATGTTGTTGGCATTTTTTAGCTCAGGCAATATTGAAACATTTTAATCATCTACTTCTTGGTGTTCACTGGCTGTAAACTCTATCGGAAAGTTTGGGTTGTTCATCCACTTCTAGACTTTGATTTTGTTCCAGAACTTGAATTTGCATGCACATCCATTTTACAGATTGGGCTTATTTATATGCAGACTGTTGGTTCCTCATCTCTCAAGCACTATGACTTTGAAGGAAACACCCCTAATTAGTCACCTTGTATGACATACTTATTAGTGGGCAGTTGCTCTTTCTTATTTTTCCTCCACAACGGAACGACACAGGGAGTAACATGTTCATAATTGCACCCTATCGGGGTCAGTTCAGCTGAACGTGATTTGGCAACAGACTGCATTATGTTGGAGGGCTTATGTGAATGTCCTTAATGCTGTGATGGTGGTGGTTCTTAACTCTTTATGAGTTATGAGTTATGGGTTAGATTATCTTCACAGCACTCTGGACACATCCATAGGCGCCCAGATTCCCCTCTCAACATAATCATCAGCGTCGTGCAGTTAATAGTACCAGTCCTATGTTGGTTAGCAAGACTTTGTGTGTGTCCAGTGTGCTTCTCGTGCTTGGCTGTGCCGATCTTTACTCCCAATTCACGTATTCTTAGAAGTGATGTGGACACATTGCTTCAAAAATCCTCATAGCGTCCTATCTCTCTAAGGGCAATGACAATGTCTGCGTGATCCATGGGCCAGCCATCTTCAATTAATGCAGTCCCTGCCAGTCTCTTTAGCCCTGGGAAGGCTGTTTTTCTGGCTTATACAGGTTTTGGTTGACATGTCTTTGGACAGTGCCCAGTGTGCCTGTATGACATTCTTTAGTACTGGCTGCAGCTGCATAGTGTACATACATGGTGGATATGATTAAATCAACCCTAAATAAAATTTAGATTTTTTGGGGGGTTAATAAAATAAATTAAAAATATGTTGACGTCACCATAACATCATTTAATTTCATTATTGTGTCACATTGCTGTATGTGGCAGAGTTAATCAGTTAATTCTTTGCTCCATTTTGCATTTAATAGTTAATTCACTTTGTGTAGAAATGAACCTTTTTCTGATTTATACATTTCATGTCTGGAAAGAGTAATTAATTTATTTTAGTGACACGACGTCATCCGAAAAGCAGAAGTGTTCACGCAGAGTTTACTCAGAGGCAAAAACAATTTTGGGATTCTTACTGGCCAGAGGCTAGAGCCCCAGCATAGAAAGACAAATAATACAGAATAACTGGCAGTGATTTGTGGGCCAGTTGCTAGGCCTCCATGTCCCAAAGCTAGCCTTCAGGCCACCAGTTAATAGCCCTGGTCTAGGGGTTGACCCCTGGCTATTTATAAAAAGCGGACAAGACCCCAGTTTTCTTGTGTCTTTCCCCCCCCCCTTTCTAGTTTTTGGTGGTATATTTTTCGAGAATTATATGGGTGCAATTAAACAAAAATTAAATTTAATATAGGCAATTTTTAAGATTGTTATTGGGCAAAAGTTTATTAATGTTTCTGCCCAGGTTTTCCATTCACACGGAAGGGCTTCCTAGCTAACCTTGCATATCTCTTAGGATTATTGAAATGCACAATTCTCTCCATCACACCCAGCTGGAGACACATCAGAGGATCCCTGTATGGGTTCTGGGGCTCCATTTTGGAGAACAGAGAATAGACTCACTGCCTCCACCCCCCCCCCAATCCTCCAGCAAGCATGTCGTAGGTGGTGACTAATTAGGGGTGTTTTCTTCAAAGACAGAGTGCACCTTCCCAAGAAGGAACCAAGGAACCAACAGTCTGCATACACATAATCAGAGAGGCTAATTCTGTATAATATACAAGAATTGTTACGATACATCTTGCAGGTTGCGGAGATTATGAGTACTTTACAGATGGCTTTTGCAACAGCTTATAACAAACGTGGGACTACTGCATCAACAACAGCAACAACAGCGGCCTCCCACCACCAGATCTGCACATCATGCCCTCTGTATCAGATTCATCGAATTTGTCAAGATATTAATGGTAAGTAATCTAGAAACTTCTTCTCAGCATTCACTGGATGTCAACTCTGGCAGAAAGTTTGTGTGTTTTTGGTCCACTTCTGGACTTTGGTTTTGTTCCACACCTTGAGATTTGCGTTGCCCATGTGAGATCCAGGGTCCTGTTTTACACGTCTCTTTCACGCATCTGGCTTATTTGTAAACACTGTTGTTTCTTCGGCTCTCAGGCAATGCACCCTGAGCTTGAACGAAATACCTATTATATTATTATTATTTTTACTGGGTCTGTTATTTTCTGAAAATACTTAATAATACTTAATAATAGTTAAATAGTTAAAAATATTTTTGAAAATAAATATTCAAGGATGTTATGCTATTTGACACTGACTTATGTAGATGTTTTTCTCCATGTTCTTTTTAATAGTGCTTATGATCTTTCTTTTTGTCCTCTAATTTTGTTCTCTTCCCCCGTGGATCCTGGGGTCAAATTTTTTGGGTGAAAAAAAAAAATCCCAACAAACATGTTATAAAAGGTGACTAATTAGGATTGTTTCCTTCTAAGTCATGGTATACACCTGCCTCAGTGGTGAGGAACCAACAGTCTGCACAGTCTAGAAGTGTACACATAGCCAGAACTTTCCATGAAATTTACAACCAGTGAACACAAAGAAGAAAATCAAGAAAAAAGAATCACATAAAAAAAAAAATGAGGTTGTGGTGGAGGTCTTGCTCTGTATTAAAGAAGGGCACTGTCTGAAATAGATTGAAAACCACTGTTATAGACTCATTGGCCTTTGATGGGTGATGTGGGTCCACAGCACACCAGCCACCTTCCCAGGACATATCTCTGACCTATTTTAGACTGGGTCGGCCTGGCAGCCGAAATCAGATTTTAAAAACATTTTTTCACAATTTCCTAACAACAACATAAACGGGCAAAAATACTGGGGTTAGTTTTGCAATTTCATGTAAAGGATACACAACTGATTTTAATATTTTGTTACATTTGTGTTGTTGTTTTTTAATTATGTTGTTTATTATGTTAGTTGTTAATTTCATTCAATCTTCTCTTTCCTCTGTATCAGCAATGCCTTCTCAAGCAGCCTATGACCTGCTGGTGAAGAAAGTACAGCTGCTGCCAGACCATGAGCTGAATGAGCTGAACAGCCTTATGCAGGTACACATAAATGTCCAAGTTCTGGTCACTATGGAGGATACCAGGTTTACTGTTTTCAGTCATGAGGACAGGCATGCTTTGTGTAGAGTGGCCTGCCTTGCTTTGGAGGTTGCAGGTGAAGAGCATTGTCTGGATCTTTTCTCTGTAGAATCCCGGTTAGTTGGGAAATAAACAGACGGACTGACTGGCTGGCTGTGCACAACTTTGTGTAATATTGAGGTATAAGGCATACATGGTCATGGCCTTATGGTAGCATGTTTACCATTCAGAACAGCAAATTGATCATCAGTCTGGTGAGTGATGCAGCAAGGATGTGGGCTTATCACAGCCTGCCGCAAAGAAACTCAGTCTCTCACTATATTGCCTACTTTATGTGATTTCCTACCCAAAGAGTCACGTGTATCCTATGCCTATCTTCATGCTGGTCAGCCCTAGCCACTCTTTCCTGACATCATGCCTTCTGCTTCTATTCTTTCCAATTCACTGTGGGCTTGATATCACCAAACTATTTCAGTTTCTGAGACAAGATGTTGTTGATTAGCCAATCTTCCTTGATGTTCAGATCCTATAGGATGTTAGTATTTCTTTTTTGATTTGTCTGCATTATTCTGAGAATCTTTGGCATTTCAGTTTAAAAGCACCTATTTTCTTCTTTAATGACTGCCAGATAGTCCCCGACTCACATCTATGTGTACAGCCCTCAGAATGTTGACTTTGATTTCCTTGCTGGTGCTTAACTCTAGACTTTCAATGCTGACTTTATGTTTGTGTTGTACACTTTCCAGGCTGAGGAGCCGGAGTCATTTGAGGAGTCGGTGGAGGTGATGGTGAGCTTTCTTCGACATTTGTGTGAAAGAAAACAGAAGGAGCATGTCCACATCTCGGAGACCAGTAAATCTAGCAAAGCAGGTGTAAGTACTCCCTCAGGTACTCCTTCAGGTACTCCCTCAGGTACTCGTCTCATGAACAAGCACTTGTGAAACAAACAGCTTAAAAAGGTTTACCAACTTGCAAAAATTAAAAACTTTCTTTATGAAAACACAAGAAAGATATTCTATATTTCTTACATCCAGACAAATATAGGCCTCAAGAAATTGTTTGGCCTGTTTATTAATTGTCTAGAATTCACACCCAAATTTTAAAACTGGCTCTATGTAGCGTGCAAGAATTCTTTTGCTAACCTTCAATGACATGGATTTCTTGTATACAGTCTGCTTAATTTTATAAACTGAAAATTTTAGCCTGTCTTATTCTGTTCTTTATCTCTGTGATACATCTTCTGTCAGATGTTATCCATGTGCCTGGATACTTGAATTTCTGTACTGTAAACAATGCCTTTGACTTTTATTTTACTTTTGGGCACTATTCCTTTCTTGGAAGTCACCATTACTTCTGTCTTCCCATTATTCAAGCCTACGCCCATTTTCTCACTTTCTACCACCACTGTGTCAAGGCCTGTAGTTCTTTCTGACCTGTCACTGTCAAAATAGTGTCATCAGTATAACATAGGTTGTTTATGTTAAGACCACAATTCACAATTCCTGGCAAAGCCATGATGGATCTCATTACATATATATTATATACTTTCTATATACCTTCTTTTAATCTCACCATGTGGTGCCTGGTGTCATAAAGAATAGAAGCACTGCATCCTCTCAGAGGCAACTAAGAGGGGCTGGAAGTGGGGTCAACAACCCCACACTGTTAAAAAAAAAATGATAACAGCTGTAGAAACAGAGACAAGCATAAATATAAATAATACTCACGGAGATGCGAATGTCATAGATGTAGGTGACAAGATAACTGTCAATGATGAAAGACTGGGAGAAAGCCTGAGGGGAACCCAGCCCTGACGACCGGTCTCTTGGCACCCAGGACACCACAAGGACAGCGAGGTAGAGGCAGGCCCAGAGGCACTTGAAGGCAAACCTTTGAGGCTTAACTCAAGGCTACGGGAAGGACAAAACTGGAGATAGAGAGGATGGCTCAGGATCGAATTGAGTGGCGACAGTTTGTCTCTGCCTTATGGGCCTCTGGGCACGATAAGGATTCATTGACTGATTTTAATCTAGACTATCCGAGCCCAGGAAGTTTTAAAACATCACTTCTCAGTGGGTGTAGTCAAGTGTGTTAGCAAACATCTCTAACAGGATATCTGAAGTTCTAAAAATTGTTCATTATCATTTTAGCAGAAAAGCTTCAGTTTCTTCTCCGTGGCTTAGAAGTTAATGAACAGGCTTAACAATTCCATGATCCCAGAATACCAGGGTAAAAAACCCACAACCAATCATTCTCATGGTTTTCAGAGGAGAGTCGCACAGTAGAAGACATTAGTGGATCACCATGTAATATTCCCGAAGACAGAATTGGGTACCCTGTAGCCAACCTTTATTGTAGAGACTCACCATTTTTAGTTTCAGTTCCCTTGCACTTCTGCCATCAGATGTTATTATATGTCCGAGATAGAAGAAACTTGTTACTGATGTTTATACACTTGTTACTTGTTCTGTCTCACTGTATACAGTGATTTTCACTGGTGATAACTCCTTTCCATTGTTATTTATCATCGCTTTAATGTTTTTTTTTAAAAGAATAATAATATCTAAACCATAACTGCACTCTGCCTGTGTCTCAGTGACACACGACTGGATTCACTACACTGTCTGTTTTATGTAACTATTTTCTCAACAGGTGAATACACTAGAAGATAAACATAATCTTTTTGAGGGACTGAGGAGCAAGGCCAAGAAAAGTTTCACAACTTCGTTTGAGAATTTGCTTAACAGGGTGAGTTTTTTTCTTCTTGTTTTTCTGTATTTTTGTGAAATTTCTTTGTTTAATATTATGTATCTGGTCAGATTGTTTATTTATTCCTTTATGTCAAGTGAAATTTCTATGTTTTTTTTATTCCTTTGTGACTGTGTAATTTCTCTGTTTATTATTTTGTTTCTGGTAAAGTTTCTGTTTTTTTATTTATTCCTTTGTTTCTAGTCAGATTTCCCTGTTTATTTATTTCTTTCTATCTGGTCAGATTTCTGCATTTATTTATTCCTTTGTGTCTGGTAAGATATCTATGTTTATTTATTCCTTTATGTCTGGTCACATTTTTCTGTTTGTTTATTCTTTTTTGTCTGGTCAAATTTCTCTGTGTATTTGTTCCTTTATATCTGGTCAGAGTTCTCTGTTTTTTCTGTTGTTTCTGGTCAAATTTCTCTGTTTATTCCTTTGTGTTTGGTCAGATTTCTCTGTTTATTGCTTCGTATCTGGTCAGATTTCTCTGTTTATTTCTTTCTTTGTGTCTGGTCAGATGTCTCTGTTTATTTCTTTCTTTATATCTGGTCAGAATTCTCTGTTTATTCAGTTGTTTCTGTTCAAATTTCTCTGTTTATTCCATTGTGTTTGGTCAGATTTCTCTGTTTGTTTATTCTTTTGTATCTAGTCAAATTTCTCTGTTTGTTTGTTGCTTTGTGTCCGATCACAAATCTTTGTTTATTCCTTTGTGTTCAGTCACATTTCTGTACATTTCTTTGTGTTCAGTCATCACCATCATCTTTTTATAGCAGATATTTTTCAGTATGTCGCTCTCATCACAGCATGTGGGAAAGTCACTCAGTCCCCTGCCAACTTTCCTGTCCCATGAACTTTCATGACCTGTAATGGGAGCACTTGCAAGGCTGGCAGAACAGAAAACAGCTCACACACTGATAGTGACAGACTCCATGTGCATGCTTAAGAAGATTCAGACTGGTAAACTCCAACTAGAATGGGTTGACAGCATCCAGAAGCCCTGGCTCAAAAAACTATCTTGGCTGTACACACCAGGATATAGGGAAGTGAAAGAGTCTGCAGCATGGTCGTGTCTGCAGTGGTTAGTAGAGGAAGAAGTATGGACAGGGCACACATATGGAATGCACTGAGTTCTGGAGAGTTTTAGACAAACAGATCAGAGACCATGAACCACCTGCTAGAAATGGGTATTAAACGAGAACAAGCATGCAGAAACCAGTTGCAGTGCAAAGAAAGAAGATCTACCTGCCAGCTCTTACAGGGTACGTTGAGCTTGGAGACACTTAGATAACTACTGCATTGGAGAATGGAGCAGGAATGGTTTGGACCCTTGTGCTAAAATGTTGATACAGATAACAAGTAAAAGGAACTTTCAAGCCATGGGTGTTCTTGATTCATCATGCTGGTCGACCCCTGCCTCTTCTGCCAGTAACTATACCCTATGTTACTATTCTATCGAAAAGATTGTAGTATTTAACATTGCAGAGATATTTCAGTTTACAAAGTACGATACTGTCTATGAGCCAGTCACCCTTAATAATCAAATCATCAACAACAAGACGGATATATAACCAGATTGTGTCTGTCCGGTACCATCAGTATTGGAACTGTGCGCTAGTTGCTGAAGATGAGGACGTAGCATGCATGGGAATGCACCGAGTGCTGTGATACTAATTCTTGACTCATCTCATCTCAACACATCATCAACAGTGTTGGTATTTTTCCTCTTCTTGTTGCCAGTCTTGTGTCTCAAATACCCTTAATATCTGTGGTCTATATTTTGAATCAGTTTATAGCTTTCAGCTCTCCTTTTTCATTTTTCTGTCCCCCTGTGATATTCTCAACTGTTTCCTTAGAAAGTACATTTTCTGTGCCACTGCCTGCTTATTGTCTTATGAATGATGAGAACACCATGGACTGGCTAAAAAGACTAATAAAGATGTCTTGAAAGAAACTGATTCACCTAGAGAGTTGCTTGCCCACCCCAGAAGGAGATGATCTACATTCTTTGTTCATGTCATGAGAAAGACAACAACTCAAGTACATTGATTGTCGGAAAGTTGGAGGGGGGAAGAGGCAAACCAAGAGAAAAGATGCTGAACAGTTTGACATCATGGCATGGGAGATTATTTGTATCGGAACTGGGTGAATGTGCATCAAACATAATGTTATAGATAGACATGACTACTGTAGCAGCACCACATGGCATGGACTACAAGAAGAAGATTGTCTTTTCTTCTGTCCTTTATCCCTTAATGGAGCATAGGCCCTCAACTCTACCATCCCAAATATTTCCTATTTAAAATAAAAAATATCTAGAACCTCTAATTCTTTTTTTCATATGTTTTGTTGTTGTTGGTCTGCTTATTTCTATTGTTGTTTATCTGCCAGGGCAAGAAGAAGGAGGATGGCTGTCGGACAGTTAGCTGGACTACGGACAGTGATGCTAGTTATGCTTCTAGGGTTAGTGTTTGTTCACAGTGTTGTTGCTGGTGATTATTAACTGATGCTGGGGTGTGGATGATTGATTGATGATGGGTGGTAGGGATGATTGATTGATGGTAATGATTGACTGATGAGGGGTGGTGATGACTGATTGATAGTTGAGTGGAGGTGATGACTGATTGATGGTTGGGTGGTTTGATGATTGATTGATGGTTGGGTGATAGATTGATGTTGATGATTGACTGATGGTGGTGATAATGGATTGATTGGTTGTGTGAGGGTGATGATTGATTGATGAGGTAATGGTGATGTTGGATTGATGGTTGGGTGATGATTGATTGATTGATAGTGATGATTGATTGATTGATTGATTGTGGGGGATGGCAGTTATTGATTTATTGGTGGGATAGTGGTGGTGAATTATTAATTATGTGAATAATTGATCAAGGAGTGATGAATATGAAAGTAGTGAAGGTATTGATTGATTGATATAGTGGGATGAGGGTGCTGATTTATTGAAGATGTATGATTGATAGTGGGTGATAAATGATATGGTGGTTGTGGGATGTTTGAGTGATGATTATGACAGGGGTAATTGTGACTCTTGTTTCATGTTCATGGTGATGTTTGATGATCACAGGGTAATGATTGATGATCACATGATGATTATTGATGATCACAGGGTGATGATTGATGATCACAGGCTAATGATTGAGGATCACATGGTGATAATTGACGATCACAGGGTGATGATTGATGATCACATGGTGCTAATTGATGATCACAGGGTGATGATTGATGTTCACAGGGTGATGATTTATTGATGTTGGTGATGATGGCACTTGATTGATGATGGGCTTATGATGATGACAGGTGATTGTAATTGTTGATTGATTTTGATGGTGATGATTGATTAATTGTGATGATTGGTTGATGGTGATGATTGATTGATGGTGAGTTTATGGTGATGATTGATCGGTGATGATGATTAATGGTGATAATTGATTGATGGTAGTATGTTCGTAATGATTGATTGATGACATGGTGATGATTATGCCAGTAGTGATGGTCATACGACAAATTCTGATGATCATGATACAAAGATCTAACAGAAAACAACTGCTCTTTTTTCCCCCCACATACAGGACTCATCAGCAACCTCCACACCTGAGGCATCCCCAATGAGCAAGGAGTTCCACCACAGTTTTCCCAGTCCACCAACCTCCCCAGGAGCATTCAGACACAGGAGTGCAACATGTGAGAATTTGGGTTCCTCCCCTCACTCAGACATGCAGCCAGCTAGGAGGAGGGATGTCAACCACAATACCACTTCAACCCCTGTCAAGAATGTGTGAGTAAAAGACAGACAGATCCTCTTATGGTTTGTGAAGGAGATGTGTAAATGTGTAGTTAGAAAAAAGCATCCAATTATTGATGATTAATTAGGGCAGAGATGAGATGACTCCTCGCACTTTGGAGGTTTGCAATGACTCAATCCATTGCCTGCATACAGAACCTGCCTCTACCCCTTGTTAGATCATGCTCACAGAATAACGCAGAATAACGCAGAATACACACATGCGCACACGAATGCAGGCACGTATGTGTAGGAATAGTCCTGTAATTCCAGCCACATGAAAGCTTGTGTCAGCGCCATCAGAAGTCTCCTGTTGTGTTTGCTGCATGGTTTAGTGTTCAACTACCCCTTCTTCCCTGTATTTAACCTTGGTGGTGATGAGGACGACACTTAATATATTGCCAAATTCATCTCTTTCTTTCATTTATCAAGTTTCTGCATGTTGATGATAGTGATGATAACACTTAATCTCTTTCACTTATCAGAATCTTTGATGAAGATGTTGATAATGACACTTGATCTCTTTCTTTACTCACTCTCTTCCATTTAACAAGATTATTAATGAAGATGGTTATAATTATACTTAACATTCCTAACTCATTTCCTTTCCATTTAACAGGATTATTTCAGGGATCATTGGCTCTCAGTTCTCGGACAGCGTGTCTTCGTCCTGTGTGAGCTCCCCCCAGGACAACACCACTGTGGTTTCCTCTCTGATGAGACGCCCCAGCAGCTCTTGGAGAAAGGCCATCTTCAATCGAGTCTGCACTCCACAGCATTCATGGGATTACGGTGTGTTTTTTGGACTTTTAGCATTTATGTATCTTCATCATCATCAAGTGCCTAGCTGACTGCCAGGCAAAAATCTTAAATTGTATCTCACTTCAAGTGTGGAGTCGTACACCTGTTTGGGCAGTAATGTAGATAAGGTGGGAGAACTAATAGAGATACTAAAATACAAAATACAAAAGGGAAGAGGAGCTTGCATAGCACTAGGAAATTTGTGGAAGTAAAAGGAAATTAAAATTGTTACTAAACTCAAAATGTTTAATTCTAATGTCAAAGCAGTACTGCTGTATGGAGCGGAAATATAGAGAACAACTAAAACAGTTACTGATAAATTACAAACATTCATTAACTGTTGCCTATACAGAATAAATTAAATTAAATGGTACAATAGAATCACTATGTAGAACCTGGGGAGAGAACTAAACAAATTCCAGTGGAACAAGAGGTGAAGAAAAGATGCTGGCATTTGATAGGACACACACTGAGAAAACCTGAGAACAATGTAACAAGAATGGTTTTGCACTGGAACCCACAGGAGCCTAGAAATATGGGCAGACCAAAAGTTAGATACAAGGAGAAGTGAGCTGCATGCAAAAGCTAAGGTTAGACTGACTTGGCATGATTTGGTTGAGGGCTTATGCTCTATGGGTGGAAATAAGGCAGAAGAAGAAGCATGAACCTGTCAGGATAATTTGTTGCAGAAAAGCCAATACACATCCCATTGCTTGCAGAGATGGCAGATACATCCCACTGCTTGCAGAGATGGCAGACACATCTCACTGCTTGCAGAGTTGGCAGGCACATCTCACTGCTTGCAGAGTTGGCAGACATCCCACTGCTTGCAGAGTTGGCAGACACATCCCACTGCTTGCAGAGATGGCAGACACATCCCACTGCTTGCAGAGATGGCAGACACATCCCACTGCTTGCAGAGTTGGCAGGCACATCTCACTGCTTGCAGAGTTGGCAGACATCCCACTGCTTGCAGAGTTGGCAGACACATCTCACTGCTTGCAGAGATGGCAGACACATCCCACTGCTTGCAGAGTTGGCAGACACATATCACTGCTTGCAGAGTTGGAAAACACATCTCACTGCTTGCAGAGATGGCAGACACATCCAACTGCTTGCAGAGTTGGCAGACACATCTCTTTGCTTGCAGAGATGGCAGACACATCCCACTGCTTGCAGAGATGGCAGACACATCCCACTGCTTGCAGAGATGGCAGACACATCTCACTGCTTGCAGAGATGGCAAACACATCCCACTGCTTGCAGAGATGGCAGACACATCTCACTGCTTGCAGAAATAGCAGACACATCTTATTGCTTGCAGAGATGGCAGATTTTATAAAAGAAATGGTTGCTAATGCAACATCTATATTGCTTCTTCCAGGAGATGATGAACAGTCTGTGGGAAAACTGCATGATACTGAAGAGATTCGAACCATGTGGAAGAAAGCCTTTCTTGAAACACTGCTTCTCATCAGACTGGAGAAGGAGTATCACAGTATCAGAGGTATGTTCATTTTCTTTTTCTGCTTTTTTCAGAGATGAGACATCATATTTGTCTTTTGCCTTTCAGCCCCTAGTGTAGCATACACCCTCGCCAACTCTTCTGAAATTCTTTGTATAACCAGTCTGTGGTTGTTTGAGTTGGGCTGAGAACCGACACAGAAGCACCTGGGACATTCCCATAAGTGCTTTGTTCCCATCATCAGTAGCCAGTGCAGCGTTCCAGTACCAGTCTAATTATATATCCGTCTTGCATTTTTTCCTGAGTATTTGGTTTTGGCGATATTCCCTGGTCACCCATCACTGCACCTGTCTCTTCAGACTGTGCTGATCTCTGTCTGCTTCATTAGTTGGTTATTGCACCTGTGTTTCTGTGGGATGAGATAGAAGTTTCTGATGCTAAATCAGCCCATGCTATTGCATTCATGTGGATCATGGATGCTGAATAAAACAGGGAAGAAAGCGACTGGGAGTCCCAGGAATGTGATTTCTTTATAGTTTGTGAATTCCATGGACAAGCATCAGTTCAACAATCTGTGTAGTTTGTATTCTGTTGATATTTTCTCCAGGTATGTAGGTGTGTGTCGGCTCTGAGGCTAAGTCGATGCGAACGCTTCATAATGCCTGGGTGCCGAGTTCGATCCCAGCTGAGGGTCGTGCGCCTTGCGTTGGTTTTGACAGTGGTATCAGGGGGCCGACTGTCCAGAAAGCAATGGCAAACTACTGGGCATAAATTTGCCTAGAGAAACCACACAACAGCCAGGGGCTGCTGGATTGGTTCTGCAACGTCCTGTAAAGGATACGCAACTAACCTTTATGTAGGTGTGTTGGGAAATGAACAGCCAGATAAAATAACTGACTGGCTTTGCACTTCTTAATGATAGGTGTAAACGGTGCCGAAGCTTAGAAAGATCATTACATTCTGCGGAAAATGGTGCATGGGGAGTGACCAGGTGATCTGGCCGTCATTCAGAGGAAAGGCAAGACAGACACACAGTCAGACTGCTAGTGGTATTATTGAAATGGAACTTCACAGAGGCTGCTTAGGGTGACGATGGAGTTAGTTAGTTAGTTAGTTAGTTGGGTTATCCTCATTGCACTCCGGACATGTCCATAGGTGCTCAGATCCTCCCCTCAGTATGAACCCCAACGTCCAATGGCTAATAGTACCAGTTCTATGTTGATTAACAAGTCTTCTGGCGTGTCTAGTGTGCGTTTCGTTTTTTACTGTGCCGATCTTAATTGGATGGAGTGCTTCTGTGAATGTCCTAAATGCTGTGATGTTGGTTCTTAATTCAACTTACTCATCCTACCCTGATTACCTGCATTAGAATAGGTGTCATTATACTGTTAAAGCAAACCAAAGTTAACAATAAATGGAAGTCAAAGTGATTTAGTTTGAGGACAAAACTCACGCTATAAAAGAGCATCATTGTAGCAATGCTATTATACAATAGTGAGTGTTGGAACAATGACAGCAGGGATTATGCATAAACTAGAAGTTGTTCAGACTAGATGTCAAAAGAGAATCCTGTAAATATTTTGGCCAAAACAGTATCACTAATGAAGAAACTGGAGAAGTGGCAGAAGATTGGAAATGGCTTGGACATGTATGCAGAATGCCTGACAGTACTTTGGCAAGAACAGGTCTGTGATGAAAGATGAAATGTAGATGACCAAAGTAAACCTAGAGGAGGACAGTAGAAAGGAAGATGAAAGAATGTAAATTGACATGGGTTACCACAGGCAGAACAGCAGCTGTGGAGATCATTGTAGAGAGCATTAAATATCAACTGATACATAAAGAGGATGTAGAGAGATGACAGTGTTTAATAGGCCAGGATATGAATATAGTAACTAAAAATAGCATTTAAGAGGGATCTTCTTATGACTCCAGTGACTTCTTGAAAGCCAGTTTAATGTAAGATTTTCTTGTAAGCCTCAGTGATAGAGGTCATAGGGTCATGACCTGTGTCTCTTGATACATTTTGTTCATTTTGCACCCTGGAAAATATATTCCATTCAGTGCTTCATAGTGGTCATGTTTATTGATTACTCCTTTGTAAATCTTTATATATTTTAAAGAAAAACATGTCAAATGTAGATTCATGAATTTAAAAAAAAAATGTTTGTTACCTGTCACCACAAAATCCTATGGGTTTATGGCCTCAGTGTTTGTGTCTGTGTAAGTATTCATAGGTAAAAGGCTTAACCCCAGCCAGTGTGTACATGTAGTGCTGAAAGATGACCTGCTAACATCCTAATATGCCTCTTTGCAGATGTGTAGGGTCAGTACTTGCACAATAACCAGTTTATAGTTTGGATAGGGAAAGGGTAGCTCTGCAGCACAGTCCCATCCTCTCTCTGATACATGGGTATCCTGTTCTAGTAAATTTGACCTGAAAATTACACCTACCAGAGGATTCTCAACAAAGCAGAACCAAGAAATAGCTTATTCAACCACACTTCTCAGCAACCAACCACCCCCTTATGCACCCATCCAACCTCTGACCCACCCTTGCATCCACCCATCAATCCAAGCGTACTCTGTAGATATATAACTGATATTTGTAGCTTCAATCAGCAACCATTTTGACGTTACTTTCCTGTTCTCCTCATGCTGTCACAGAGTATTTCGTGTTTTATGGGAGCCAGTCTGTGGTAGTCTTCCGTGGTAAGGCTGCGTTATATGTAGTAGATTTATTAGCCGACATGCCTTTTGCTGATACTTTTTTATATGCATTGTGCTTTCTTTACATGTCGTATCTGTAGCTAGCACATCTAGAAATGTTCAATACTAGATAGTTGTTTGACTGGCTTTTTGCCACTTGTGGGTTTTTTTAAAAATGGAAAAACTTTTACTCTTAAATAAATTGTGCAGTTAGAAATGATTCTGTGACAGTCCCAGCAAGCCATTAGAGGGTTTAATTGCTCAGACACATATGCTGAAGGTAAGAAGAGGAGAAAATCGAAATTAAATCAGAATATAACACTCAGTGCAATTTAACACAAGCTATGCAACGCAATTGCTACAGACAAGAAACTACATCTAACTATCCACTCTGCAGTGCTTTATGCACAAGCACTAGGATAAAAGAGGTTAAAGATTTGATTTTTGGCAGGATTGTAACCTTCTAAGGTATTTCTTTGATTGACTGAGTCATAAACAGGGATCAACCAATTATAATATAGTTATTGGTACTTTGAGTGTTGAGGGGGACCTCTCGTCAAGAATATTGTTTTTTAAAAAGTAAAATGTTTCGGTCATATTAACCCTTCAAAATTTCATTTAAAACCAAAAAAAAAAAAAACATATTGTTATAATTCTCTGAAAATATAATCTAAGAAACTAGAGAAAGAGAGAAAGAAGCAGAAGAAATGTGCAGTCTTGGTCAGTTTAAAAAAAATCCAGGGGGTTGAAATCTATGACCAGTAAACAGACAGGCAAACCTGATAGCTGTTGCATCATCACAGCCCCCAGGTCACTCAGAAACCAATGACCAGTGAGCAGACAGGCAAACCTGATAGCTGTTGCATCATCACAGCCCCCAGGTCACTCAGAAACCAATGACCAGTGAGCAGACAGACAAACGTGATAGCTGTTGCATCATCACAGCCCCCAGGTCACTCAGAAACCAATGACCAGTGAGCAGACAGGCAAACCTGATAGCTGTTGCATCATCACAGCCCCCAGGTCACTCAGAAACCAATGACCAGTGAGCAGACAGGCAAACCTGATAGCTGTTGCATCATCACAGCCCCCAGGTCACTCAGAAACCAATGACCAGTGAGCAGACAGGCAAACCTGATAGCTGTTGCATCATCACAGCCCCCAATGACCAGTGAGCAGACAGGCAAACCTGATAGCTGTTGCATCATCACAGCCCCTAATGACCAGTGAGCAGACAGGCAAACCTGATAGCTGTTGCATCATCACAGCCCCCAGGTCACTCAGAAGATACATTTGTCATATTTAGAGTCATTATTTTTCTAAAACGTAATTTTTCAAAATGAATTTGTGTGTGTGTAGGGCGGAAAGTAACCACTAAATACAAACAGATCAAAGAATTAACTACTTTCTGTCCCTGTAACCAGCAGAACGTTGGTTGTGTTGACACAGTTACAGAGAGGAAAGTGACCTCATCATAAGTCTTTTATGATGTTCCTCCCCCAACCCCCCAAAAAAAATTTTAAAAACCCACAAATAATGTCTCTTTTAGGGGGTAAATAAAATCATACTAACCATGTATACACACAGTGGGGTTGCAACCAGTACCAAAGCTGTGATACAGAGGTGTGGGGTTGCAACCAGTACCAAAGCTGTGATACAGAGGTGTGGGGTTGCAACCAGTACCAAAGCTGTGATACAGAGGTGTGGGGTTGCAACCAGTACCAAAGCTGTGATACAGAGGTGTGGGGTTGCAACCAGTACCAAAGCTGTGATACAGAGGTGTGGGGTTGCAACCAGTACCAAAGCTGTGATACAGAGGTGTGGGGTTGCAACCAGTACCAAAGCTGTGATACAGAGGTGTGGGGTTGCAACCAGTACCAAAGCTGTGATACAGAGGTGTGGGGTTGCAACCAGTACCAAAGCTGTGATACAGAGGTGTGGGGTTGCAACCAGTACCAAAGCTGTGATACAGAGGTGTGGGGTTGCAACCAGTACCAAAGCTGTGATACAGAGGTGTGGGGTTGCAACCAGTACCAAAGCTGTGATACAGAGGTGTGGGGTTGCAACCAGTACCAAAGCTGTGATACAGAGGTGTGGGGTTGCAACCAGTACCAAAGCTGTGATACAGAGGTGTTTTTATTTTAGCACTGCCTAAAGACGTCATGTCATCAATAATCCCATAAAAGACAGGGTTAATGCTGTTACCTAATATAAGTAAATGCCCCTGCATGTGACAACCTTGCTTCTATGGGATTTTGTTCACTTATTTTCTTAGTGGATACGGTAGCCAGCTTGATCTACTTTTATGTTTTTAGATTGTGGGATGTTTATTTCAAACACCTGGTATTAGTAGTGCTTAAAGCATCAGAGTGACTCCTCAACACTGCATGATACCATGCTTCCAGGCTGTTTGAAGCTGATGATTCCTGTGGTACATTTTTGTGTTTCTGCCAAGAGAGATGGAGCACCTTGAAATTACTTGGAGTGTAGTGGGTGTTCTGTTTTACTATTATACATAAACCACAAGAGTGAGAACAGTTTTTTTCATCATTGAACATCTTCTAACTTTTGGTCCATATCAAAATCCGAACACAGTCCGACTCATTTGTGCTCCGCCCTCTGATGCAACAGCCATCTGTGTCTCCATGCTCAGCGTACCCAGTAGGAGTTGACTGGCATACCTTCTTTCTTTGTTTCGCAACAGTTTTCTTCATGTTTGTTCTTAATACCCATTTCCAACAGCTGGTTCATTCTTTGACTCTTTTATCTCAAAGTCTCTAGAACGCGCATTCAGTACGTCCACCATATAACACTTCTTCCTCCACCAGACACAGCCTATCTGTCAGCTCTTTAATTTCCTTTCACCCTGGGACATCCCGGTGTATAAAGCCAAGATAATGTCTTGAGCTGGGACTTCTGGATACTGTCAACCCATTCTAGTCACTGTTTGCTACTTGGGATCTTCTTAAGCATGCACATTGAGTCTGTCACTATCTCTGCGTGACCACCTTGGGAACATATAATATGTAGTACTCTACAAATCACTCCTTGCTGATGAACAAGCCTTGACAGTAGATTCAATCATGAAATTGCAACAAAATCTAACTTCTTTGAATGTAAAACAAATAATATGGGAATCAACAATGAAAAGTCAGAAATAATGTCAGATGGAAAAAAAGCAGAGCCTAAATATAGCAGTAGAGTGCAGAGCCATCAAATAGGCATCTGAGTTTAAATATCTGGAACAAAATTCACTGAATATAGAAAATTTAATGAAGAAATTAACATCAAATGCAGTAAAGCAAACCACATATTGTTAAAGCTAACCCTTCTCTCATAGCATAAAAGCCTGGTCAGCACAAAGAAACATCTCATAAGAAGCATATTCATTCCAACCTTATGCTACGAGCGCCAGACATGATCATTCACAACAATCCAGAACAGAAAATTAGAAGGAAGTCATAATTACTGATTACTGATTTGAGAATCAACATCATAGCATACGGAGCAAATGTCCTAAGGTGTATATGCTAACTTCTCCCGTAGCACACTGATTATACACATGTCGCTCTCTTCCTCTTATCTGTCCCTCCTTGATGAATCCACACTTAATTCCTCATTTACACATTCTCGCACATGTTATTTCATTTAATCTGTGTCTTCTGTTAGCAGTCTTTCATATATGGTCAGAATCTCTTGTCCAGTAGGAGTGTTCCCTTAGCTTTTGCTTTTGTAGTCAGAAAATCCGCTCTTTCATTCCCTCGCACTCCCGCATGTCCCAGACAGTATATCCACATGATTCCCTACAGTGTTGGTGTACTGATGCATAGCATCTACTCATGCCACATTAGTCCATTTTGAAGCTTCCGCAAAGCCGACTGAGAATCAGACACAATAATTCCGCTGTTTACTTTGTTTTCTGCTATCCACTTCAGAGCTGCAGTGATTGCCTCCACTTCCATTCTCCTGCTTAACGTTGTAGATACAAAAGCTTCATATTGTTCTGCCAAAATTGTTCCCTTTATTACAGCAGAAAATCCCCGGCCAGATCTTACACCCCGATGAACAGAACCATCAGAGTACACTACTACATCATCTAGCCCAGCATTTCCATCTATCAGTTGTTGTACCTCTAATTGTACCATACCGTTACACCACCCTCTATATTCTCTTCCTAACATGATAATGACCTGATGGAAACTTCTGTTGTGGGTGTTCATGTCGACCCATTCCTGCCCCCTGTGTATTTGCTTGACTGAGGCCGCCAACTTGATGGTCAGCTAGTGCCATCCATTGATTACCTCTTATCAACCGGTCTCCTCTTATATTGTTCAGGTTACCATACATCTGATACCTTTCATCATTGGTAACTCACATATAGGCCTAGGCTTGCGCCAGTGACAGTCTAAACTTGACCCATGTCAGCACAAGCATATACCTCATTGTTGTGATTTGCGGTATAAGAGTCATAAAAGAAAAAGTAGTATGGACAGAGGAGATAACATCATCGTTGTACAATTAGGTTAGTGGGTAATGACAAATCTCTGATACTAACACGATTGCATGACATGGGAGTAAAGCATGGTGAAACATATCCATGCTGTTTTCAAGGCAGCGATTGGAGACATTATAACCAGCTCATTAGAACAATCAGTAGAGGTACCTTGGAGTGGCTGTTGCATCAGAGGACTGAGCATATATGGAAATGCCCAGTATTAATTGACATTGATTGTAATAACATAAAATTAATACCAGATTACAAAATAATTTCCCAGAAATTAAAATATCATTTCCCAGAAACAAAAATGTTATTAATGTTCTAAACCCAGAGATGTGCCTATAGTTTGTTTGTATTTGATAAATGTTCAACATGTTTCCTGCGATTTCAAAGAGTTGGATGAGCTGCAGATGATTTTTAATTTTTTTTTTTTTAAATCCAGCTGCATGAACTTTGGTGCTTTAAGAGGATTTTAATAGTTGATGAGTTAATCTTTTTATTCTTC